GGACAAATCAAAGGAAAAAAATGATCCCACAAAATTACACATCTAATTTATCATGATCACAGATTCCAATTAGTTAAGATGCTAAATAACTTCTTGGAGTTATTAAATATCCCATGCTTCTATTCTGAGTTATTTGGAGATTGTGTGCAGAGTAAAGGAGTAGATCAAATAATCCTGATGGAATATTCATGTTACAGATCTCAGCCTACTTCCCCTAATGAAGTTCTTCCCACAGCCCTTGCAACATGCATTGTATTTAATTGCCAAACCTACTCCCTACAGAGACAAACAAACAAAAACCCACACAACCACCAAACCCCCAGAACTTAGCATTATTGTCAGTCGGAACTGAATGGCTCCTGATAAAGGTACTCTGGAATAAAACCAGATGTGAGCATGTATTTAGGTACCTCTGGAGCAGCTGCTTTCTGCTGCCATTAACATACTGCCACAGGATGTGACTGGCAGCTCAGAGAGAGCTGATCTTCTAAAAAGCTTTTAATTAAACGTATTTAAATCCTACAAGTAACTCGTACAAAGAATGTAAAGGTCCCAAACTGTGCATGCAAGTGTTCACATGCACTGCAGAACAGATATGGGCAAAAGTTCGCATAGGTTCATTAATAATGATAAGAAATAGAGCTAGTAATCATAAAGAAAAAGAATGCTTGAAATGCAGGCCCCCATCAGGCATAGAGCAGAACACAACTGGGCCACGTTTTATGGGCCATCTTACCATATACAAGAGAAATGGCCAGCTCACTAAATGCCTAGTGATATTCTCTCCTGTCATCTTCTCATGACTATTAGGTCCAAATGTTATCAGCAGATAAGTTCCAACAATTGCCAAACCACAGCCTACAAAGGACAAAACATAGCGCCCTTCGGCAACCAAAGGAAATAAAAAGAGAGGACAAGGTTAGTGTGTTAGTACAGACCTGTGGAGTTAATATCACACATGCACAGTGACCACTAACAACATCATGCAGATTCCTGTGCCTGACTCACTCCTCTGCCCTTTGTGCCCCACTTTCAAAAGATTAGAACCAAACCCTCCTCAGGTGATGCATGTGCTGCGAGGCGAGGGCAAGAGCTCATAGCAGGGAGCACCTGGTAAACAAATCACCCCAGTTCTGCAGACATTTGCACACCCATGAAGTTCAGCTGATTCAGTTGTGCCTAGACTACTGCAGAGTTAAGGCCAAGGGTAGAGCTTCAGCCTGCAGAGCCATGATTTTTAGATCTTGATAATAAAAGCCAGCATGATTTTGAGACGCTGATAATAAACACCTCCACATGTTTCTGAAAACAGCGAGACAACAAGGCAAGATTCTGCAGATTTGGCACGAGCCAGGAAAACAAAAAAAAAAGTTTTTAACAAACAGTAGAAAAGATATATATATATATATGGCTTTATATGTCTATATATTATAGCTAGGGGAGATCTTGCCATTCCTCCAATTATGATTCCCAAGAGGCCAAGCTGTGTGCAGGACAGCTTGTAAACAGAGAGGAAAACTAAAAACAAAACAAAAGCAACTGTGCAACTTACTTAGAAAATCCTTGGGCTTCCATTTTTCTTTAATAAATATAATTCCTATGATTGCACTAGCTATAAAAATAGAAGAAAGAAAAGCAAGAAAAACAGGGCAAGTTATATATTCGCTCAGTTATCAGCACTCATTTCACACTGAAATGCACAACAGGCATCTCTCTCCACCTTACCTACAAGGGACACTGCACTGAGCGGCACAATCAGTGAAAGAGGAGCAAAGGCATAAGAGGAGAACACTCCCAGTTCTCCCAGCACAAGCAGAAACAGTCCACACCACCACGTCTTGGTTCTGAAGTAGGCTCGGGGGTCCTTGGAGCCCGCCAGTCGGATGTGGGTGTATTTCTAGAACAGAAGACAGGCACAGAAGCTTTGGGGTGTTTGATGCTTTTTAAACTCAGGATGCTCAAGGCAGGATCAGTCTTTGTTTCACGACACTTACCTGGAGGTTGAGTGCAATACTGATAACAAGATGTCCAAAAATAGCCAGTAATGCACCAATCAAGTTCTCCTGTAAAAACAAAGTAAATATACAGATATATACTTACCCACCAGACCCCGAAGGAGATCAGGGTTTTACTCAACCAGGAGAACAGACCTTTTAAAACAGCTAGATCAGCTGTCACTGTTCCTAGATCAGCTGTTCCTAGATCAGCTGTCACTAAAACCCCCATTATCTTCCACCCTGTCTAGGCAATTAGGGAAGTTCCACATGTCTCTGTTCCAAAACTGTGAAACTCAAGTGAAACTCAACTCAACTGAAAAAAACAACTCTCCCTTAACTGATAGTTCTTATGAAAGACTTAAATTAGCATGCATGTTTCTGCATTCTTTGCAGTTTCTCAGATAAAAATATGACAACATATACGAACCGCTTATTACAAAGTGAAAGACAACAAGTAGGAACTCCTAGCAAGCTCCCAACCTCCTCTCCATTAGCATTCCTATCTCAGCACTAATTCCTTTTTATCCAAAGACAGAATTTGAAAGAAAAATATATGTAAAGCAGGCTGAACCACAAAGGAATGTACACAAGAGTGTCTTCTGAATAAACAGAAGAGCCTGAGGCCAAGGCAAGCCATTTAACATGTGTTCCTCCAACAACTGTCTAAGTCTCATTAGATGTCATTTGCACTTTTCATTTCAGCACAGGTCTCCAAGATACAATGTACTCAGATTGTGAATAATCGAGTTCATATTTGTATGCCTCCTCCAAGAGTAAAAATATTATCCTTGCTCTTCTCATACAGGATAAAACAATGCCTGACCAAGGGTAGAGCCACTTGAAGATACAAAACATCTCAATTACTGACATGCAGATTAGGCTGAAGAGGCACCTGCACCAAGAAGGGTCTATTGCATCTAACCACCCTCAGACATCCACCTGATCTGTTAATTGCTGGTAGGTCTTTCTCCATTTTGCCTGGCTTTTCAAGACACAAGACCTCTTTCTTTTATTCACTGCTTACACACATAGTGTGTAATACATGTAATACGCAGTGTGTAATTCAGGCATGGCTAAATGCAAAGATAGTGAACTTTTCACAAAAATAAGCCAAATACCGTACTGCATTAAGCTTACTTGAACAGATAAGGCGTTTTAGGGGTACCCTGAGGTAGAAATCTGACCTTGTAAGAAAAGGAGTCTGTGTGTGGCTGCACAGAAACTGCTGCAGTTGCCAGTGGAAGCTGCTGAAGTTGCAGACTTGGACCATTGCCTCCTTCCATTTTGGTTTGCTGGAGCGTTTGCTTTTCAGCCTCTTCAACACGGGAGCTGCTCTTTAAAGATGAGACCAAGACTCTGGCGGAACCGCTTCACCTGGAGCTTTGTCCCACTTCTTCCTTTCCATCCCGTTTTCCTTCGGCAAAGGAGGATCAGGTCAGCAAAGCACAAAGAACCTCTCTGTGGGGTATCTGTTGCTTTCCTTGCCACTGCAGTAAGCCGCGATGAGAGAGGTGCCCAGGCAGAAGTCTGGATCAGCCAAAACTTCCAGTGGGCTAGTGCAGTAGCAAGGTCATATTCCTCCAAATGACACTAGAAAAGACTAAGAAGGAGAATTAGGTTAAATGAACTCCATGGTACAAAACCTGCAAAGAAATCCTGCTACAAATAGGCCACAAATCTTACACTTTCACAGAAAAATCCCTGCTGTCAAACTAATATCTGCACATATCACCCGTGAAAGAAAAGTTTAAACAACTTATCAGAATGTCTCAAACATCAAAACTCGCACAGTGTTTGGCTTGCTTAAGCTGACACACCAGGCAAAAGCCCTGAAGGTGACTTATAATTGGCTGGTATTTAAGGTCGGGCCTTCTCTCTGGGAAGCTCTAATCAAAAGGCACCTGAAGTCACCAGACGCTGCTCTTCTGTTCCCGGCTGCCTGCTGACCTCTGTTGTTTGCGCAGGACAGAGCGTTACAGCCGTGCTGCAGGTGACAGCGCTCCTGCTCACCTAAATGGGGTCATTTCAGTGCAACCGCTGGGAGCGGAGCTTGAGGCGCATTCCTTGGGGAAGCTGCCCATGATCCCTGCACGTCTCCATGGTTCCATTCCCCAGGGACCTCGAGGAACCTCGGCCACATGAGGAAGGGATGGCAGCAGATAAAACCAACCACACGGAGAGGGCTTTGGACACCCCAGGATGCCATGCTCAGAGCCGATGAGTCCTTCCCGCTTTACCAAAACTCCACCTTCAGTCTCAGGAGCGGGACACTTTGCTCACGGGCTCACCTTGAGGCGGCAGGACCCACCACCAAGGCACCCAAGGGTGTCCCGCACCCCCGGCATGGGGGGACCACGGCAGCCCAGCTGCGAGGAGGGCAAAGCCCCTGCCATGGGCGCGAGGGCACAAAACCCCCTGGCGTGAGGGGACAAACCCGCCCTGTGGTGAAGAGAAGGGGATATCCCTCCCTGTTGTGAGGGAGAAAACCGAGGGCCCCGCGCCAGGGTCTCCCTCCCGCGCTCCCCTCACGGAGA